TGCCTCAGAGCACAGCTTTTAAAGTGTATTTTTGGTAACTTTTAATTTTAATGTAATCCAGACTTACAGAGAAGTTGCAAGAAAGGTATAAGGAACATCCATATACCTTTTGGCCAGATTCACTATTCCTTTACATTTTGGCCCATTTATCATTCTCTGTGTTTCTTTCTGTGTGCGTCCCTCTCTCTCTATTGTCAAACTGTCCAACCATCTCTATCTGTCTGTCTAATCATCCACTCATCCGTCCATCTGTTCACCCATCTCTCTATCTTTCTATCTATCTATCTATTTATCTGTCTGTCTGTCTATCTATCTAATCATTCATGTTTTTGCCTGTTTTTTCTTGAACCATCGGAGACTTTGCACCTCTTTGCCCATAACTACGTCAGTAGGAATTTCCTAAGAACCCAGACTTTCTCTTAAATGACCATAGTACAGTTATATCCTCCCTCCCCCCACCCCCCGCTCCGTCTAGGATCATCATAGCACACCCTTTAACTGTTGGAGGAAAGGAGGCAAACATTTATAGGAGGCTGCTGGATGCCAGACATTGCACTAACGCACTTTATATACATTGTGGCATTTTTTTCCTCTAAGCAGTCTCGTGGAATCAATTTTTATTCTCCCTGTTTTATAGACAAGCAAACTCAGGCTTGGAGAAATTCGGTAACTTGCCCATGGTTAGTCACTAGGGAGCAGGTACAGATCCAAGTCTATCCAATGTCCCCATTGCCCTGGCACACCCATGATGTGTGTCTGTCATCAGAGAGGCACCAGGCTCGTGTGTCCTTAGTTCATCTCAGCATAGCATCTCAACCCTACGAGGCAGTGTGGATGCAGAGTCATTCAGGGAGTGCCAGAGCTTATCAGCAAGGTACTCACTGCTTGGAGCTTACCTTCAATCCTGTAAAGATGCGACTGCCACCAGCACACACAGGCGTGTCTGAAAGATGAACATATGCATGCTGAACCAGATGATCACATAGGGACGGAGGGCAAACATCACACTCATTGGGACCAGAGTGAGAAAGACACTGTTTATGTCCCACACAGTTGGGGAAAGTTATCCTGGATCTTAGCTTGGCAAGGCTTCTGGGCAGAGTGGAATTTTAGAGCTTAGAGCTACATAAGCATGGATATTTTACATTTGGAAAGGACTTTAGACAAGAGGCTACCTCCTTCATTCCAGACACTGAGAAACTAAGGCCCAGAAAGGAGAACTAGTTTGTCCCTGTCACGTACCTAATCAGTGGCCGAGATGGGACTTGAATCCAGGTCCTCTGTCTTCTAGGCTTTTTTTTCCCATTACATCAGAAAGTCCAATCTTTTTACAGCCCAAACCCCTTTTAATTATTTACTCCTACCCCAAGCAGCCACTGTTCTGTACCCCATGTTTGGAAAAGTATCCAATCTGCCAAAGTACTTATATTAGTGAGTAATTAACTAGTTACCCATTTTTATTAATCAGAAATACAGACACACCAATCAGACTTTCTAATCAGCCTAAGATCTAACCAGGGTGACCATATTGATAGAATCAAGAAACTCAAAGTATGATCTCAACTCAGGTTTTTTTAAATGTCAAAAATAATGACCCTCCCTTGAATATTATTACCTTCAAAGACCCTTCAGGACTTATTAGAGAACTCAGGTTGGGAATAGCGTACAATATCACGCTGCTGCTCAAAGGCACTCAGGGTGGTCTGTACCCCCAGTGAACAAATTTTACTGTAGGTGTCCCACCTAAAAATGGCATCATCCCTTCCTCTTACCTTCCCATTTTCCTCCCTCCCTCCCTTTCTTCCTCAGCATTCAGGTCTCCCATAGGATACAAGGCAAATAATAGCCATGTTTATATAAACTGTTAGAGAATAGGTTAGAGGGATTATGCATATAAATCTATACCTTCTATGAATAATCAAATATGATTTCAAACCTACTTGAGTTTAACAAAAAGGTATTTTAGATCAATGACGGAAAAGAATGCAGACTGAACTTTCCTAAATCAAATATTTGCAAAGAATATGCAGGCATATCTTGGAGATACTGTGGGTTTTGTTCCAGACCACCACAATAAAGCGAATATTGCAATAAAGCGAGTCAGTCACATGAATTATTTTGGTTTCCCAGTGAATATAAAAGTTATGTTTACAGTATACTGTAGTCTATGAAGTGTGCAGTAGCATTATGTTTAAAAAACAATGTATGTACCTTAATTTAAAAATACTTCATTGCTTAAAAAAATGCTATCATCAGAGCCTTCAGTGAGTCATAATCTTTTCGCTGGTGGAGCATCTTCCCTTCACTTTGTCAAAGACACAGTGTGTGCGAAGTGCAATAAAATGAGGTATGCCTGGAGCATGTAAGAAAACTTTCTTTCTAACTGGATGGGATATTTCATGTGCTCTGAAGCCGGACACAACACAAAGCAAACCCTGAACACAGCAATCCTTAAGATTTTCAGTTCTCAAGATTTTCATTGCCTGGCTTACTTAGAAAATGATAAACTGGTTAACTGAAGAAGCCGCTCATGGTCACTGGAGCAAGTTGGCCTCCACCCTGAGGGATCAATATCTGGCAGACCTAAGCTCATTTGTAGTTCCACTTGGAAAGCTCCTAATTAACATCATTAACTGGAAAGAATATTAGAGGTCTTGTGATTATCTTAACTGACAACAAGAGAATCCATAAAATCCAGCTTCTATTTCTGATTAAAAATCCTGAGAGAAAAAAATGCACGCATAGAATGTATTTTAAACTTTGAGTGAAAACCTCGAGACCCATTCATTCTGGGGCTTCTCTAACAAGGTCTGCAGCGTGCATTCATCTCGCTCCTTGGTGACTGGCAGCTGCGAGTGTTTATTCTCCAGGAGGCATGTTCCACCGCCTCGTAGCAGCTTTTGCTGCTCTCACACTTGAATAAAAGCCTCTTGAGTTGCTTTTTCAGTCTGGAGGAGACAATGAGAGAGGCACTGGCCCTCGTACCTAGTCATTAGGCAACTGGACAGGCAAGGAGCAGAGCGGGGATTGGCACAGAACCATCCTGCATGTTTGCTCTGTTGTCTAAGCACACATCAGCCCAGGCCAACCACAGCTAAGTCACATGTGGCAGAAACGTGCCCCACTAAGAGGTGCCGGGCAGAGCATCCAGCCTCAGCCATCCCACTGATGAACTCAGAGGACCAACCACATTGCCTTGTCTCAGAGTTCAGCTGGGTCTGTGTCTTTATGTGGATCACTCACGCTAATATAAGGCACAGGCCCTCCTCCTGTCATCCCTGGAGGACCTTGAGAGCCACCTGGGGCCACACACTGAGCCCTGTTCTCCTTTGGGAAAGTGTTTGACCTCTGGACATTGCAGATGGGGAGATCTGAAAGGGGCACTTGGGTTTCTACAGTTCAGGGCTGAACCATAAAAGGAAATTCTTATAAACTTTAATTGTCCTCAGCCCAGATTAGACGAGGGAGGGCTTTTCACGGCAGAATGACCCAATTATTAGCTCTTGTTAGGGATGGGACCTCAGACTCTCCTTCCGTATTACTTTAGCAGAGCTGGACCCACGTCAAATGTAATTAGATGTTGAAGTCGACTTTATTGTAGAAAATAGTGATTATGCAAATGTAGGCTATGCTATTAGAATGTATTTCGGGTTTGAAAAATTGCATCCTTCTCTCTAGGTTGGTTTGGCTTATGGTGACTAATTCTTGAACCTCTTGGAGACTCCAGGCTGATTAAGGTTTTCACGGGCCACACGCACTTCCTTCTCCAGAAGATTTGATTAGGCCCAGCTGTTGGCTTCCAAACTGTGTACCGTAGAGGTGTCTTTAGGACTCCCATCTGGAAGTGACAGCAGGGTACTGGACCCCAGGGTTTGTCTAGAGCAGCTCCTCTTATGTGTTGAATATATCGGGCTGGTGAGCAAGCTTTTGTTTGGAGAAAGCATTCCAAGGCCAACCAAATTTTGAAAGTCACTGTCCTAAACCGTAGGTTGTTACTGTAAATGTCTATGTCTGTGGATTAGGTTCCCACAAATTCTTTCTATGTTCTTTTTTTTTTTTCTTTATTGGGATTTTGTAAAAATTGTAAGTCAAATAATATGAGGTATGTAAGAAAAAGGTTAAATCTCTCTCCTCTTCCTCCTCCTTTCTAGTTCTGTTCTTTGAAGATAACCAGTGTTGACAAGTTAATATATATCCTCCCACACTTTTCTCTTCTGTGCTGATATCTTTTAAATTTTTTTCTTTGGGAAAAGTTTCAAAAGGACAGAACAGTGGAGACTAGTATCAGTAACCCCTGTATACTCATTCCCCTATTCCAATCATTATCAGAATTACAGCACTTGCGTTATCTATCTCCTCATATATGTTTGATTTTTTGTTTTGTTTTACAAAAATGACATCATACTACACATGTGACTTGGCAACCTGTTTTTAACTTACTCTACCTTAAAAATGACTTCTTATCAGCTCATCTCCCTCCTCCTTTTAATGGCTATGTAGTTTTCCATGGCATGCTTGAATCATCACTTATTCAGTCATTACTCTATTTTTGGACACCCGGGCAGTTTTCAAAATTTTTTGCTGCCTTATAAATTACTGCAACAAATGTCCTTGTATCTAAGTATTTACATATTGGTGCATGTATTTCTGTAGGGTAGATTCCCAAAAACGAGTTGGCAGGATTGTGGACTATGTATATTTTAAGTTTTATTTAATATTGCTAAAGTTTATTCTCAAAAGATCATAGATACCTCCCACCAGCAACATATGCCCATCTCTTTATATTTTCAACAGCCCGGGGTGTGATTGTTCATTAAAAATGTTGTGAATCTTTTCTGCATACAGATGGCATAAAATCGACATTTTCGTATGTGTTCATGAATGGATTCTTTTTCCGCATTAATTTTGTAAATTATAGTTTTGCAGTCATTATTTGGGGGAGATAGCCGTTAGGAACATGTCTGGAATAAAGACCAGCCACTGTTCTTCGTTTGCACTAGTTTGCACAGCGGAAAATGGGTGCCGGCCGCGTGGTGCACATCTGCAATCTCCCTGAAGGAAGCTGCACTGAGAATGACGTCATCAACCTGGGTCTGCCCTTCGGAAAGGTCACGAATTACATCCTCATGAAGTCTACCAATCAGGTAGGGCTGGGCACTTTCACAATGGTGCGTACTGTGTAGATCACACCTTGGTGGAAGGAAACGATATACATTGTTTATGTTTGTTTGTTTGTTTTAAGAAGCTGTTCTTTTTTTAAAATTAATTAATTGGTGGAAGGAAACGATATACATTGTTTATGTTTGTTTTAAGAAGCTATTCTTTTTTTAAAATTAATTAATTGATTAATTGATTATTTATGGTGGCAAACTTGGGTGAAATCCAATACGTTTCAGCTGTACACTTTAACAGTAAGGCATATATAGGTTTACACTGTGTGTTCACCTCCCATAGTAAGATTTCTTTCTGTCACCACGTATTTTACCCCATCTACGTCCCCACTCCTCCCCCAACCCCTACCCTCTGGTAACCACTAGTCTATAGTCCATGTCCATGAGTCTCTATTTGTCCTGTTCATTTGTTGCTTATATCCTACATATAAATGATGTCATGTGATTTTCAACTTTTTCTGTCTGGCTTATTTCGCTTAGCATGATTATCTCGCGATGCAACCATGTTGTCGCAAATGGCAGTATCTCATCTCTTCTTATGGCTGAGTAATATTCCATTGTATATATGTACCACAAGAAGCTGTTCTTAACATCAAGAGGTAATGCACGGCTGACTCCTGTCGGAACAGCGCAGAGGTTTTTGGTGGTGGTGGTGTTTCAGTCCCCTTGTTTTACCTTACCCTTCTCATGATGGCTACAGACAGGCCTTTGTGAGTTGCCTAGAGGTGAGGAAGTGCTTTGGAATGAGGTGCTCATTGACATAGGAAAGCTAACTGGCCCCCAACATAGAAATCCATGGACTTGAGCCTTTTCACTCTGTCACCAACCCCCCAAGCTAACGCTCCAGCCTTACATTCTAAATTTCTCATCACTGAGGCCTGGATTTGGAACCTGCCAACAATTGACTGGAAACATATTTTCACTGATCCTTGATGTTAGCATCCGAGGCCGTGGGTCTCACAGCGGGAGACTAGGTGGGAATTAATGGATGCTCAGTAAGACTAAGGAACTAAGAATCCTTAACCTGTGGAGATTAATTGAATCCTTGGGAGTTCATGTGCTTGTTTTCATTTCTAGCATCAAAAGAGAGAGTTTATACTGAGAATGGCCAGAAATAAGAATATTTTGTATTACACTGTTAATAAATATATTTTTACAGAAGAACAGGCACAGGAGAAATTCCTTTCTTAATCAAGGCATAAACTTTAGAGACTCAAAGCCACATCGGGTCATCAGTGGTCTTCCTCCACCAAGCTGGCTTAGACTACTCACTTTCTCTCTTTGTTCTTGCTTCTCAGAATTCTATTTTGGGTAAATGTCCCATATTCGGCTGCCACATTAATGTGGTGAGATTCATTGAATTAATATTCGCATTCGACAGTTGAGAAGTAGAGGTGCTAAAACGTTTACATGAACAGAGAAAGCCGGGTGGCAGAATTTGAATAAAACTCTATATCATCTTGACTTCTTAGTCTCCCACATTTCTGCCATGACTGTGACAGCACGGAGAAAAGCATATCTGCAATTCAAAAACAAATGTGAGGGAAGGAGGGAGGATGAGCTTCTTCGAGGCAGTGGGGGAGGAGGCGTTCACAGTAAGGGCCCCCTTGTCCCTGACCGCGGTTCCTTCTCAACATGGAGGGACCAGATCAGTACAAACCAAACGAATCTAAGAAAGAGTAACAGTAATGAATCCGCCACAGCAGCTACAGGAAAACTGACAGGTTAGTCAAAATCGTCTATTTAGACAATCTCCGTAGACACCAGTTGAATGAGAAAGACCATTTCTTTGTAAGTTGTTATTTTTAAAAATCAGAACAGTGAAATAAAGAGGGAAAACGCTGTGGAAACATAACTGAGGATTTTCCTTTCTCTTTAACTCACAGAGACGTGACCTTCATTCAAGCCTAGGAAGCCCTCGTGGTTTTTGTTTTTTTTTTTTAGTATATTTCTTTCTTTGCCAAGAAAGTGAGAGCTCAGCTACCCAGGGTTTGTGTCCCTGTCTTTTGCTGTTGCCACCACTAAATAACAGATTTTGCAGGGATCCACCCAAGGTCACTTGTGCAATAAACTCACCCTCCCCTGTGCACTCCTCCCCTGGGAAACTGTGGTTTAATGGACCCTCCCATCCCAGAGGGGCTCCTGTGGCATGGCGTAGCCCAGGATGGACATACATAATTAAGAGTAATGTTTGGTAACCATGGAGATCAAGAGAGGGGGGCCATCTTATAATGAGCGCTTTTGGTGAAGTCAATAAATAGGTCTCTTTGAACAGATGGGATCAAAGAGAGCTCTTTCTTGTACTGATTTTTTTTTCTTTTTATTGAGGTATAAAATACATACTCTAAAGTGCACTCATCTTAATTGCACAACTACATGAATGTTTTACATGTGTACGCCCATGTAATTACCACGCAGATCAAGATACAGAACCTTTCCAGAACCTCAGAAGGTTTCCTTATCCCCCTTCCCAGTCAATACCCCGCTCCACCCCACCCCAGAGGAATGCTCAACTCTGATTTCTATCACCATCGATTCGTTTTCTGTACTCTAGAACTTCCAATACATGGAATCATACCTTGTACTGAATTTTAAGACCATGCAAGTCAAGTCCAATGTAGGTCCTTCCTTTCTTTCCTAGGCCTTTTTAGAGATGGCTTACACAGAAGCTGCCCAGGCCATGGTCCAGTATTACCAAGAAAAATCTGCTATGATCAATGGTGAGAAGTTGCTCATTCGAATGTCTAAGAGATACAAGGAGTTGCAGCTGAAGGTAAAGTATTCTCTTATTCATTCAGTCATTCATTTGAAAGTCTTCTTGTCAGGAAAGAGAGGACAGGAAGAGATCCAAAAATTACCCACTTCCTTTGAGGATGTCACGTGGAAAGGCAAACCATTATAACATAGCAAGATAAGTGCTCATTGATGCAAGTACGAAATGCAAAGGGATGCTTGAGACAGGATGACTAACTACCTGGGGCCCGTGGGATTGACAGGGGAAGTCTTGGAGGATGAAGTAAGAAGGGAAAGGTGGTTGCTTTCCAGAGGTGGGAGTTCCAGGCATAAGCCCTGAATATAATCTCCTCTACTCATACAGGTCTTCAGTAACTTTATTCCTTAGTCACCTGCCTTGATCTCTTATTTTTTCTTCCATCCTCTATATTTATGTCTTCGGCCCCATAGAAATCCTTCTAAGCAACACATGGCTAAATTGGCCACTGTCAGAGCTCAGGTGAATTCAGATCATTCCAAACAGGACTTTTGTTTTTGTTTTAGCTTGTTCTACATTTGTTTTCTCTTTCTTTCTTTTCTTTCTTTTTTTTTTTTTTTATTGTGAAGTACAATGTACATACAGAAAAGTGAGTAATTATGTGTTATACAGTTTAAAAAGCAATAACGGGTGGAAACCCCATAAGTCCCATAAAACCACCACCAAAGTCAATAAATAGGACACCGACAGAACCCCGGAGCCCCTCTGAGCCCCTCCTCACACTCAGTGTCCCCCTCTGCACTCCGCCGACTGTAAAAATGATCATTTCCTTGCTTTAACTTGTAGTTCCACTACCATTTCTGCCTTCTTTAACAGTAAGTTTAGTTTCACCTATTTTTGAACTTTATATGAATGGAATCATACTGTCTGTGTTCTTTCATGTCTGGCCTCTTTCATTCAACAGTATGCCATCCATGTTGGGTGTGTCTATTTATTTTCATTGTTGTATCAATTTCCATCGTATGACTATAAATTTAGTTATCCATTCCACCATTGATGGACATTTGGGGTGTGTCTAGTTTTAGAGTGTTAGGGACAATGCTGCTGTGAACATTCTCAAACATGTTATCTGGTACACCTGTACATGAGCGTGTAATTAACTAGGAGTGGGTACACAACTCGGAGTGGAATTGCTGGATTACAGGGCAAATTTCCTAGATAATATAGCAAGCTGTTTTCAAAATTAGTTGTCCCAAATTTATACTCCTACTAGAAGTGTCTGAGAGCTTTCAATGGTCCACATTCTTGCTAACATTTTGTCTGGTCTGACTTTTTAATTTTTGCCTGTCCGGGAGAGTGTGATAGATAGCTTATCAGAATTTTACTTTTTATTTTCCTGATTACTAATTGAGATCGAGCACTTTTTCATATGCTTATCGGCTCTTTCATTTGGATTTTCTCTGGTGGGAAGTTTTTTTTCCAATCGTTGCCCATGCTTCTCTTTTAGATGTGTCTTCTTAATGGTTTGCAGGAGTTCACTTAATTAGATCACTTAGTCCATTTGGATTTATGGTAATTAATCCTATATTTGTGTTTAAATCTCCCTTCTTATCGTATGTTTTACTACTGTCCCATTTAATAGAGATGTTCCAGGTCACTTCAGCTCATTCCACATTTACTTAGGGTTATTTTGTTTAAGACCCAAAACCCTCAATCTGCCTTTAAGCCAGAAGACAAAGGCCGAGTGGCTGTTTCTGGACAGGACTAGTTCTCATAAATCTGCATATGTAAATTGGTCATATGTCAACCAGTTGCCAAAGCTCTGATTCTGCTTTGCTTGCAGTACTGCTTTTGAGGTTCCTTTGCCAACAGTTCTGGCAGAACCTGGCATTTTTTTCTCACTAATGAAATCATGGGGCTTTTCTCAAACAAGTGAAAGGTCCCACCCCATTCTGTACCCAGCCAAAGTTCCCGTTCTGATTCTACCCGGGGGCTAGAATTGAATTTCTGCACTGAATTCTCAGTGGAGCTTTGGTCTCCAAATGAAATGTTGTTGTAAATTCTAATTAGGATTAATAACCATACTCAGCTTCCTAAATTAAGGTACCAGGCACTGCAGTACCTTGCCAAGGGAGATAGTTTTGGGGTGGTGCAAAAACCGAGGGTTCTTTAAGAGGTCCTATGGTCCAGATTTGCATTCAGCAAATGTTGTGCCCACTGTGGGTGGGAACTAGGCCGGTACCGTGGGTGTGGAGGTAGCAAGCTTGTGGAGGAGCTCACAGTGCGGTGGGAGGAAGCATAGGTAAATACAGAGCCATCCACAGCCTTGTGACCTGTGCCGAGTTAGAGGGTGTTGGTGCCAACCTAGGCTCTACCCCTTCCTGCTTGATGAGCTTGGACAAGTTACTTCATCTCTGTGAGCCTCAGTTTACAGATCAGTAAAGGACTATATATCTTTAGAGTTTTGGTGGTAAGCATCCTTTTTTCATACATTGTCTCTTTGAGCCTCACAATCTTTCTTCCTTGGATAATAACACTAATTATAAAAGTACAATGATAACAAGAATATGTACCTTTGATTGAATCCTGGTACTCTGTGTCAAGTACTGTGCCAGGCACTTTACGTACATTTTCTCCTGTAATCCTAGCATCAGTCCTGTCAGACGGGTGTTATTATCTCAGGTTAACAGATGGGGAATCTGAGGCTCATAGAAGTTCAGTAACTTGCTCACAACTGTAGTTACTGGAAGAGCCTAGATTAAAACGTAGGACTGTTTTGGTTTTGCACTGTATTTGCATCTCTATATTGTGTTATTATGATCTTCATTGTCCACTGAAAAATCAGAGAGAAATCAGGTAATTAGTCACCCAGTCAGTAAGCTGCAGACATAGTATTCTAAAAGAGCGTCTGAAATTTTAACGTGCGGATCTTGTTAACATCTCTGATTCAGTGTGTCGGGAGCAGGGCTGTGATTCTGTGTTTCTAACAAGCTCCCAGGAGATGCTGACGGCTGGTCCTCAGCACACACCTTGAACAGCAAGGGTCTAAAACACACTGTTTTCTGACCTTTAGTAAGGATCCCCTGCTCCCCGAGCTGTCACACTGCCCCTATGTGAAAGCATCTCAAAAGATGTTTCATCTACATAGTAATGTATGCATTATGGTTCCTATGTTGACATCAGCTAGGACTTTGCAGGTAACAGAAATTTGTCTCATTTAAGCATATTGACTAAAGTTTAAAAAAAGGAATTTATTGGCTCATGTAAATGAAAAATCCAGCTTTGGCTGGAGGCCCGGCTGGATTCAGGGCCCAAGTGATGTCATCAAGACTTGGCTTCTCTCCACTTTTCCTTCTGCTCACTTGGCTTTGCTTTTGGAGTCTCCCTGGGATGGCCCTTGGCAGACCCGGGCTCTCTCCTCTAGGTGGCGTGATGGCCTCACTGACTTCCGCAGCTCTGGCTTCTCATCCTCTTTTCCTTCAACAAGAGAAAGCCAGAGTTTTCTGAGTAGCTCCCACTGAAGTCCAGAGAGTCACTCTGATCCGGCTGGCTGAGAACACGTGTCCTTCCCTGAACCAATCTCTGTGGCCAGAGGAGGCCAGGCTGTGATTGGCTAAGTCTGTGTCACCTGCTACATCCTCAGAGAAGGAGTGGAGAAGGGAGAATGGCTACTAGGGAGGTAGACAGCAAAACACTGCATCCATAAGTGTCTCTGGGCCAAAGGGACCACCACGTGGGGTCCCACCAGGGCTTGCCAGAGGTGGGGGGAAACTTTGATTGGTTTTTCTTTGTAGCTTTACCTTTTGCTCACCAGACAAAGTGGAGGAGGAGAGATTTTAAGATACTTCTCATCTCTCTTGAACGTTTCCTCATGCCAGTAATCTTATCTCTCCATACACTCTTTGTGGCAGAGGTTCTATTCCTCAGGGCATTTAAGGAAGAACCTTTCACATAGCAGGTGTCCAACAAATGCGAGGAACGAATAAGAAAGATGAAAGCGGAAGGAAAAATCAAAAGTGAGTGTTTTTCTTCCTGCAGACAAGAAGATTGAATTATTTTCTGGTTTATTCTACAGAGACTCCTCCAGAATCATAGCGTCTTACATACAGAGGGGAACTCGAATAATGTAAACCATTGTCTCCCAGTCACTGCCTCAGAATTGTCCAGGCAGTTTTCAGTCCCCTTCGGTAGATTTGGGGTAAGATTGGGGCTCTCAGGCAGTCTGGAGGCAGAGGGCCTGGTTTCAGAGCAACAGGAAGGTGAAATCAGCAAATGATGGTTGTGGGTCTTCTCCACATATGACGTTATTGCTGAGAGCTACGGTGAATATGAGACATGGTCCTCACTTGGGGAGAGTTTGCTCTCTAACTGGGGAGACAAGCTATTCTCGTGCAAAATTATACAGGATTTAAACATGAGTGTGTAAGTGCAGGAACTCTTAATAGTTCAGTGGCAAAAGGCAGTTGTGATTTGGTTGCATAAAGGTGGGAGCGATTACTGAGCAGGGCCTTGAAGGATGAGGCAGATTAGCTAAATGAAGGGTGCATCCTAGGTGGCAGGAGTCAGGTGAGAAGAGATATAGAGCCTTGAAAACGACCGGGGCTGCTGTGACAGTGTCTGGCTCTGGCGAGCTCAGGGCTCATCTGGAAGGTTTCAGCATCTTTCCAGGACTCTTGAGGCATGTAAAAGAGCTGTGGAGGGGTCAGAGGGCACAAAACCCTCTAGCAGCTCCTTTTATGTTGGTCCAGCACTCTGCAGCTTTTATCAGTGTAGCCTGCTATGCCCTGAGGTGCTTGGTGGATGCCAGATGGGCCTCATTATCTCACCTTTACAGATGGAGAAAGTGAGTCTCCCACAGACAACAGTCCTTGACCCCAGATGACCCAGCCAGCTGGAGGCAGAGCTGGGGCCGCTTTTTTTTATTTTCAAGCAGCACTGCTTCCCTCTGAGGGTGCCAGCACCTCCCTAGGACCACATGGGGCTTGGCATCTCACCCTTGTCTTAAATGCAGCAAGATGTGTTGACCGTCAGCGCTGTGGATGGTCCCCTGTGGGGTCGTTGAGCCCCATCAGTGTCATCACAGAATGGATGAAAAGATGCCGTGACTGGAATTTGCCTCAGAACACTCTGTGCAGTGGGGGTAGGGTGGGATGGTGGGGTATAGATGAAATGAAATTGGTCAGAATTATTGACAGTGAACATGGATATGTGGGGATTCAAGATACCATTCTCCCTGCTTTTGTGTATGTTTGCAATGTCCTACAAGAAAAAGATACCCAGAATGTCTTCATAGACCTACTCAGTTCTCTCTCATTTTCACTTTTCTGTGGTAATCACAGCTTTAGTTTACCTGCCTCCTTTACACCTTTAACCACAGGAGGATGAGGCCAGACCTGACGAGGAAGACTGAAAGGATTTTCTTAGGGCTGTGAGAAGTTGATTCTGTCATTTAAAAGTCTTTGGCCGCTTCTGTCCCTTTCTGAGTTGGCAACTGGTGGAGTGTTTGGGCCAGAGAATGCCAACAATTTGGAATTATCACTTAAAGTAGAAGAACTGACCTGTGGTCCTCAAAGGGGTGTCACAATGCTGGTGACTGCCAGCCCTGGCATATAGTTTTTGAAGATTGTCTTAATGTTTCTCTGTCGCTCCAGCCATTCATGCTGGAACGGGTATCATGGAGTACCTGTTCCATGCCAGGCTCTGTGCCGGTGCTGGCTGTGTGAGGACCAGCAACCCAATGCCCTATCTCACTGGAGACATGGGACCTGGATAGACGTCGCTTCAGAGGGTGCTGGGCTGAAAGCAGCCTCAGGAGGATGTTATGGGTAGAAAAATAAGGGGCAAGGAAATACTTAAGCCAAGAAGAGGCTCTTTTAGCCCACAAAGCACTCTAGGTTCATCTCTTTGACCCCTGGGGGACTGCATGGGACACTAGAGGATATTTTCATCCGTAGTGCCTGCTTGGCCCACTCTGCCCTTCGTCAGGTGGCACCCCAGAGGGGAAGGGCATGATCCTCCTCCTACCCAGTGCTTTCCTGGGTCTGGGCTGAAAGGAACAATCACCAGACTTTGAGGTTCCAGAAGACCAGAAGGAAAGTTTGGGGAACTTTAGGGATTCTTTTTGTCACAGAAAGTCCCCCATCTAACCCCCTCAGGGAATTTATATGTTCTGAAAAGTTGGCATGGTACATTTAACCCAGTTTGGGGGGCACATTCTTTAGACTTTGCCTATTCCAGCTTGGCAGTGTGAGCCACAGATTCGGGACCCAGGATGTGGCCTCTGCAGTGAAGGCAGATCTCATCACATCTCCCTGTCATGGGTCCTGATGGCTCCTGCCAGCTTTGGCGACCTCTGGTCGCTCATGTGTTGGCTTGTGTGGCGGCAGCGCTGCAGCAGGTCTTCTGGGGACCAGCCTTTCCCAGCACGATGCAGTAGGCAGCTTCCATTTTGTGGCCCCAGGTGGGTAGGCAAGAAGACCCACTTAGCGGGATCACCTCCAGATGTACCTTCTCGTTCTACCCTCAGGTGTTGACAGACTACCCTGGTGGAAGGACAGGTGGTCTCAGGTGGGGTAGAAGGAGGTGTCGTGGGTGACAGCCTCTTGGCCCAGGCCCACAGCCCCAGTTTTTTCCATGCTTGGCCTTGGGTCTCTGCTTGTGGTCCAGTTTAAGCAGTTGAGGTGCTGGGTGACAGTAGAAGCCTGGATGATCTGTTTACTTGTAGGTGACACATTCATATGCTTATGAAGGAGCAACCTTTGTGGATACAATCAGATGAAAGGGACCATTTGCCAAAACTGCGAGGCTCCTTTTTGGGTGGGCATCTTGATTAGTGCTGAGTTCCTGGCCTTTTCTTGAGCAGCAGTGTACTGGCTCCTCGACCTCCTACTTCGTCACCAAAGGGGACGGGATCACCACCTTCTCTTTCTCATTCTTTCCTTTTATAGTTTGAGCTGGCAAGAGACCGCTCCCTGGCTTGACCATTTTACATCCCTTCCCTGTGCCCTAGGCCTGACCTGCGGCCCCGAAACCACAGGCTGCTCCTCCTTATTCTGTCTATCACTCGCGTTTTCCCAGCCCAAACCCTCATTCTCAGCAAGAACACAGATCAGCGCCCACGCGCTCAGAGGACACTCCGAATTCTCATCCTGGCTGGATCCCATAGCTCACTTCATATCTCTGGCCCTGGTTTTGCCATCTGTAAAATGGGATATATGATGCTACCTAACAATCGTATAGCGCTGAGGTTTCATAATTCTTTGTAAACTATACAGGAAAAAAAAACAAGGATAAAAAGAGCATTCGATTAAACGTCTTAATCAAATTCTTTGTCAAAAGTTGACATCGCAAACTTCGAGGGTGTTTAGGCCAGTTTCTTTTAAGTGGTGGTTTTATTGAGATAGAATTTGTGTGCCAGAACAGTTACCCTGCACCATACCTTTTCAGGCAGTGGGGGATTTCTGTAGTCTTTTGGAAGACATTCTTGCCCTTTCTTTTGTGCTCATGAATTTCTTTTTTTCTTTAATCATTTATTTTTTTATTGTTTTGTTATTGTTGTCCATTCTGGGCCCAGGAGAGGGCTTTGGTTGGGATTTGGGAGCTGGGGTTGCTCCTGTCCTGGCATAGCCCCCATATAGTGACCTCTGGAGTGAGTGGGGCCTTTGGGTGCCTGGCATCCTCAGCTGTGAATCATGGCTCCCTGCCTACACTGCCTACTCCACGGGTTTCTGTTGAGTACCAAATGACCCCCGTGGAAGAACACGCTGGACTAAGGTGTTTCATGGGACATGGAGAGGATCTTGGAGTTGAAATGCCTGTCGTCAAGTTCTGATTCTCCGACTACCTCTATGACCTCGAATGTGTTCCTTAACCCGGCACAACTCCAGGAGTCATCATCTACATGAAACACAGTATGGCTGGTGACTCTGGAATTGTGCAGGGCAGAACTCTGCCTCGGTCTCTCTGGGTCCCAGTTTCCACATGTGTAAAACGCGGAGGCTGCATTCAATGATCTTCAAGTCTATTTCCGAGTTATCATGCCTGGCTGCCTTTCCTCCCCCTTTTTCTC